ATGATAGAAAAACGGCAGTCAGAGATTGCCAAATCATGTGATATTGTACTCAGGTGAGAAGTTAATTAAAATTTAAGTCAAACTGGGCATTTAACAGAAATCATGAAAACAGGTCTCCAACGTGAAGGTGCATAAAGTAATATCATTTGGTTTTTGTTTTGAGTGTTTTTTGCTTCTATTTTTTTTTTTTTTTTTTTGTAATAAACCGATTTCGATATTGTTTTGTTGCTTGTTCTCAAAGAGAAAAGCCAAGAACTAAATAAGAAAATTTACCAACAATGACTTCCTAACATATGGCAATCACAAAAGTCGATGAAAATGAACAAATGCAGACGAAAGTTGCAAGTAAATGTTTAAAGCATAGCGACAAAATTCAAACAGACGATGTTGTTTCAAATCCAACACAGTAGATGAAAAATTTATTCAGGATAGCAACATTCCTTCTCTGTGAGAAAATATTCGGAACTTAATTCCGTATTTCCTTTATGGATTGTAAGTCAACCAAGCAAGGCAAGAACCAAGATTGAATGATAGAAAACATCTCTTCTATCAGACATGTTGTCGTTTATAACGCATCTCAGTTCAATATGAAAAAAAAAAAAAAAACTAGCAAAGTTTACAAGTTTTCACTTGAGAACCAAACACAAAGCTCTACAATCTGCAGCATTTTTTTTAAACCAGGAATACCAAATTTCTATTTTGCATCGCATTATTACAGGTGATGAAAAATTGGTTTTACATGACAACTGAAAACGAAAATACGGTCGTTATCACAGAATGAGACACCAATGCCAACACCAAAACAGAGACTCCATTCACAGAATCCTTACTCGTAGAATATGACAGGTGTCGTCCACTACGAGCTAGAACAACCATCACTGTAGGCGTTTATTGCTCGCTAAATGATCGCGTAAGCGATGCATTATGCCAAGTGTTCTGTTAGATAAACAGATGATGTATTATTCCTACAAAACAAACTAAAAGTAAAACATTTAGAATTGGAAATTCTAGCAAATTCTCTACACTCACTAGATTTAGTACCAACAGATTTTCATTTATTTTGATCACCAGAATATTTCAGAAGTAGCAGAACTTTTTCTAACAAACAAAAATGTTGGAAACAATCTTTAAATTTTTCTTTTCTTTTAGAAGAAGCCCAGATTTCTTTCAATGTAGAATAGGAACTTTGTCCTCTGTTTTTCTAATAAATAATATGGAAAAAATTTAACTTACATTTGTTTGTATATCTTTTCGAGCAAAATTTAATTATTTTCCGTACACGCTAATATAATTTATATAAACGTTTTCGGTTATTTCACTAATTACGCGAAGTATTATTCCTATCATTGTTGTTCTTATTACAACTTTTCAGCCGATTATATTCATCGACCTTCCTCAGGGTAATTAGTTCTAAGGCGCTATTTAAGACTGTTTTGCTAATAGCATCCAGAGTTTCGGCCGATTATATTCATCGGCCTTTCAGTAGGTTGTTTATCATTAAATGACTCTAAAATGTCGCCCAAGACTTTCTTCGTCTCTCCGTTCGTGATTATTTGAAAATCGGGCGTTTATTTAAACCTATTTTTTTTTTTCATTTGTTTGACTAATTTATTACTTACTTACTTGCATTTATTTAAGTTTATTTATTGATTTTAATCATTTCACCCAGACAAGGCAATAAGTCATAAAGGGATATTGGAAGTAGAAGAGAATAAGAAAACTTTAGATTGGAGAAATGACAAATAAAAAAGAAAGATTTAGGAAGGCAGAAAATGGCGATTGATGTTGTATGCAAATTCTTGAAGATCTTTAGATGGCAGGGAAGCAAGGAACCGGAAGTTAATTCCACAGGGGCGTGAAATACGAGGAGTGAAACTATTAGAATAAAACATATACATGCATCTAACTAGTTCAACAGTAAAATGGTTTGATCAAAATGCCACTCTAGTAGCATGCTTAAATTCATCCAGTCGGAGCACCAAGAAGGAAAGCTCGTCACAATTATAAACATTAACTCACGAGCGTAATGGATAGCGGCTCGGATTGAGGAATCAGAGAACCGAGTTCGAATTCCAGTCAAATCTATTGCATTCCCTTGCGTATGAATTCTTTTCTGTGGGTAAATAGCAGGGCAGATCGGGTTCTATAGCCTTGGATGGCAACTGGCAGAAAGAAATGGCAACCTACTGCGGAAAAAAATCTGCCTCGTCAGTCATGTATCGAAAGATACATGATCGCCTATATAAATGACTGGCTGAACTCCTGAAAAATGGCACCCTATCAAAATTCCATCGCACGTCAATTACCGCGTGGTTGCACTTAATCAATGTCCTTTGCGTGGATTTCTTATATATTAAAACCTATTTTACTTGAATTAAATCGGGCATTTTTATGGACGCAGAATTCATAATCCTTCGCTTGGATTATATTCTTTTTGTTTATATCTTTCTTTCCTTTTTTTTTTTTTTTGCTCTTCTGTACTCCTCTTTCTCTCTACTCCCTTTCTATCTCTCTATTTTCTTTTTCTCTCTAACTTCTCTCATTTTCACTCTTTTTCAAACCTATTTACATCTCTTTCTCTTTCCCTCTACAACACACACCTTCTCTTTTTTTTCCCCCCTTGGTTTCAACTTCTCTCTCTCTCTCTCTATTGTATTCCTCCTGAACTTTTTCAATTCTCTTTCCCTTTATCTTTCATTGTTTCTTTTTTTTCACTAACTCACTCTCTATCACTTTTCTTTCTTACTGGCACTCCATTTCTCTTCATCTCACTTTATCTTTTCTTTCTTTCTAGATCTCTTTGCTTTTCTCTCTATTCCACTCTTTCAATTCCTATTACTTTTCGCATTTTTTTCTTAGATCCCACATTTCATTCTTTCTTTCTATCTCTTTCTCTTTTTCCTTTCCTCTCTTTCTCTCTTCATTATTCTATGTGCTTCTCCCTCTACGATTTTCGCATATAGTCACTCTTTTTCTTTTCCTTTCCGTCTCTTCCGGTTTCTATTCCTCTGAAAGACAGCCTCTACGCTTTTCTTCCTTTTCTTCCCGCCCTCGATATTACTCGCGTAAATCTAAATCTCTCTCTCTCTCTCTCTCTCTCTCTCTATATATATATATATATATATATATATATATATATATATATATATATATATATATATATCACAATCTGTTCGTTATCTATCTATCTATCTATCTATCTATCTATCTTTGTTCATTATCTGTTTGTCTGTCTATCTAAGTCTGTTCCTATCTATTTATCTATGTATCTATCTAATTCTGTTCCTATTTGTCCATCTATCTCCGTCTATTCATTATCAATCTCAAGTTCAAATTCCAGTCGGATTCATTACATCCACTTACGTGTTAATACCATTGGGGAAAGTATCAATCCTCTTCTTCTCCCCTCTCCCAACTATGGGTAAATGACAAGACAGACTATAGCCTTGGATGGCAACCTGTCTAGGAGAAGGAAGAACTGTGAATTCAAAACCACTTCTACTTCTACTTCTACATGTGGTGTCCTAAGATCTTCCGGGTCAAGGGATAAAAGATCTATCTATCTATCTATCTATCTATCTATCTATCTATCTATCTATCTATCTATCTATCTTAGTCTGTTCATTACTTATCTATCTACATATCTAAGTCTGTTCCTATCTATTTATCTATCTCAGTCTGTTCCTTATTGATCTATCTATCTATCTATCTATCTATCTATCTATCGCAGTCTATTCAGATCTTTCTAATCCTCTCTTTCTATCACTCTTGACTCAGAGCCTGCTCAAAGCAACCATTTCTTTTTTCTACTCCGTTCTCTTCTTTCTCTATCTCACAGTATTCTTCTCCTTTTCATCTCTCTCTCACACTTTCTTTCTTTCTTTCTCTAATTAGAAAATTGTTTCTTTTAAACCGATTCTGATAACACCTAAGCCGTTCCTCATAGCAATTCGTCAATATTGATATAAGATAATTACCATAACAGAAAATATATAAGCCACGGAATTCTCACTTGAGTGAACAGGCGTGTGTTGCGCATGCGTGCACACTCGGAATTATCGGCATGACCAAATGGTTCACTGATACGGCCTTTCGCGGTGTTGACCTGGGCTGGGGAATTATGGGATTGAAATTTATGCAAAGACAAATTCATTCAATTTGAATGGAAGAGTGAATGAATGACAATTTAGCATTTTTAAAAGTCTGCTTCACACAATTTTACACAAATTTTCGTCCGAATGGAAATATGCAATTTTTTTTGTTCTCTTTTTTCTGCTAATTATCTTTTAAAGTCGACCATTGCTTGTATTTTGTTTTTTTTTTCTCTTTTTTTTCTTTTTATTATTTCTTCTATGAAAATTATTATTTAAGAGGCAGAATGATATATCATAATTTTAAGGGCGCCAACAGACCCTCTGGGGGGAAATGTTCACTGACACTTTATATACTACTTATAATTCTACAATTTTCTGACATATACAATGAGGTGGTACACACACACACACACACACACACACACACACACATATATATATATATATATATATATATATATATATATATATATATATATATATATAAAGTCAGCATATTTTTATCCAAGCCGGTTTGGTTAAATAATTTAGATGAATTATGTCTATTTATTTTAGTTTTAATCTTCTCATAAATTTCTTGGTGGTTATAGAAAATAACAAAATTTTCTTTCGAATTATTGTTATTTTCCCAAGTACATATATATATATATATATATATATATATATATATATATATATATATATATATGTATGTATGTATGTATGTATACGCGTATATGTGAATGTATATATGATATATATATATATATATATATATATATATATATATATATATATATATTGCATACATGTTTGCTCGCATATACGTGCAGATGTGTACACATCGGGATCGTCGTCATCTCTCCTTATTTCCATTCTCTCTCTCCTTTTGCGGAGGCGGAGATGACTCTAAATCAAAGACAGTTTGACGAGATCATTCGCGGCAATTTGATTTTGGTGGACAACTCTGCACGACAGAGAAGCCCACACACTTAACCAGAATGCCACCCTCGCCGCTCAAAGGGCAAATCTAGCAAACATGCTTGCATCAGGATGTCGAATGTTTGGACTGTCAAGGTCCGCCTTAGTTACTGCTCGATTGGTGCTGGCTTGACGGTTTGGCCGTTTATATCGTGTAAGATCTTTGCCTATTCAAAACCTTAGCACCATGGGTGGCCCTACAGGAGTTTAACTCCATGTGGGCACATATATATATATATATATATATATATATATATATATATATATATATATTATAAATATAGCATACCTTAAAAGCATATTTTTATCACACACACACACAGAAGTATATATACAAAACAAAGGTAGCACACACGCACATATCTCGACACGTTGTGCATATGTGTATTATTATTTGTGTTATATATATATATATATATATATATATATATATTCCACACACATATATATATATATATATATATATATATATATATATATATATATATATATATATATTTAAATATACAGAAATTCGAAAACAACAGGGTAATAATCATACACATATGCACAACGTGTCGAGATATGTGCGTGTGCTTACCTTTTTGTTTTGTATATATACATGTGTGTTTGTGTGATAAAAGCATGCTTTTTAAGGTAAAACTTTCAGGCCGAAAGTTTGTGTTCAAGCACAAAACAGATTGTCGCCGCTTGGTGTTGGCCTCCACTGAAGACTAAATTTATTCTATAAAATCACCATTGACTTTGACTACGGCTTTCAGACGACTTCGAAATCTCCTGCATTTCTTGTGGACGGTCTCCTTGTTGGAGTTGGTGAATGCTGACATAATCCTTGCCATCAGTTCATCTTTGGTATTACAAGAAGCTTTATGCCCCACACAATAATCAAAAGGGTTGCAGTCTGGAGAGTTAGGTGGCCAGATGTATGGGGTGATGTGGTCGTAGAAATTGTCTGACATCCTGGGTGTTCTACTACTTGCGTTGCATAGGGCAGAGTCCTGTTGCCAGACCCAGTATAGCACTACCTCCTTTCTCAATGTAGGCCGCCATGTTGAGTCTGGAGTCCTCACCAACAAGTTTTTGTCAGAATCAGTGTGTTTTCCGAGTTGCTTACTCACTATTAGACTCATACAACTCTTTCCGAATCCTCTGCACTGTCCTCAAATTGACACCCAAACACACTGAAATGTTCATATTGGAGCTTTCAGCACGAACGCCAAGCAGGACAGCATGACGTTTCCAAACTTTTGACAGAGTGAATTGTGTCCTGGTGCTCTTTTTCTCGCAGACGGTGCCAAACTGACCCTACTATAATGTGCAGTCAACAAAAATCAAAAATAAGCAACGCGCATGCGCGAAATTAAAAATATATATGGTGACAATTTACCCATCGCACACTGTGTGTGTGTGTGTGTGTGTGTGTGTGTGTGTGTGTGTGTGTGTGTGTGTGTGTGAAATATGTTGTCTAAATCAGCATTTAGTCTTTACTGTTCAAAGTGAAACTGCTGGGGAAAATTTGAGTACGCCAATCTGGGCTGGATTTCCACTTTTCAGTCTTGATAGACTTCAAAATTGACTAAACCGCCTTGTACGTGATGAATTATTTTCCACTTTACAACCACTTTCCCCATAGATAAAAAGTCGCAAGCTTCTTGCTATACAAAATTTTCTGACGAGCTACATTCATTAGTTCCACCAGTTCAGACCTTCACAGCTAAGTACATTGGGACAAATCATCTTTATTCCCTTCGTATTCCGTTGGACAGATTCACCCAAGAACCATTACAGATGCCCGCGTGGACGCTACCCCGATCACTACAACCTTAATCTATTCATGTCTCGGGAAAACTGTTATCTATCCTAGTTATCCGTATCATCTGTACTTCTTAACCCACCCCTCTCTCATTAATACAATCAACTCTCTCATTAATACAATCAACTCTCTCATTATTACAATCAACTTATGAAGAAAGCCTCTTCCTTGAGAGATTCTTGGGACTTTGTGCAGTCAATTAGTAAAATACTTCAAAAACATTTTGCTCGAAATAATTTTCACTAATTTCCAATTTAGGTTTTGTTATTTCTTTTTTATAAATAAGTGGGTGTTTTTATTTTCGATGACTTTTATAATAAGGGACTTAGTCATTTGGATAAAGTATTTTTCCTAATGTGATAATCACCTCAGCCTTTTGATCTTAGCTTAGAAATAAAAGTAATAATGTAAAGGGTGTTTCATTAAGACGGATTATATATAAGGGTGTTCTATTAAGACGGATTATATATAAGGGTGTTTCATTAAGACGGATCAAAGTCAACAGTAAATAAATCAGTGTTATTGGTAAAAATTTATTCATTTTTCTATTGGATCATGTTATTTAAGTCATGTCAATTATGTGGGAAAAATAATATCGCCCAAATATCCGCCAAACCGGAAAGAAAAAGGAAAAAATCATTAGACGCTTAAATTTAATTCACATTTAAAATCGGTCCAAGTTATTGGAACACCCTTTATAAAGGAAGTAAGCAATGTTCCAATGTTACAATTTTTTAATTATATTTCGAAATTGAACAAATATATATTGTGCTGAATGTGAAATAAAAGAAAACTTTCCTTTAGTTTTTTTTTTAAGAGATCTTTATAAAATGTTACTAATAAAACTGTTTTAATTAAAGCAATACGATAAGTTTTAACATTTCTGTGAACGATTCATCTCCAGAAAAGTGTCTAAATATTAAGAATGTGTTCACTATTATTTGAAGGAAGGAATCGGTAACCCAAACAGACATTTGTAATGCTCTACACTCTTATAAATTTATCTTGTTTAGTGACTATTTATGAAATATAGATATTTTATAAGAATATAAAGCGGAGTAGGCAATGGTTGCAAATAGGCTAAAACGTACATTTGTTAATGGGCCTGAAGCAAAGCGAACTTTTGGACGTCTTCAGTCACTTTCCCACCGCCGTAACGTAATTCCCTCTGTCTTTTCTAATGAGCACTCTTCCTTGATAGCCTCACCGCACGAATTTAAGCATACTATCAGATTGGCTATTAGTCCTCATCGTTTTATTGCTGAAACAGATGTAATCGTAAGTTCTATTCTAATATTATCTTTTCTCGTACTTCTTGCTTGCGGAACTCTCTTCCAGTTTCTTGATTCCCTGTCACATACGATCTTCACAAATTGAAACGCAACGTCATCTCTATCTTCTCTCTTCTTTATACCTGTTCTTTTATTGTTCTTTCACCTCACTAAAGTATTCTCATTTTTTTTTCCATTCCCAGTAAACCACCTATGTCTTAGTGATTGACGGAATTACGCGAGTGTGACCCAATTGGTTTGTTACAATGTTAGGATTACAGCAGAGATCTATTGTCTGTGGATATATATGCCCGTAGCATAACGGTTAATGGCGCGTGAAGGGGAATCGGAGTGTGCCAAAGTCAAATTATGACCGATTTGTTGCGTTCACTTTCAAAACAATACCCTGGTGAATTATATGATTTCAATGCTTCTTTTCCACTCCCACTAGCTGCATATATATATATATATATATATATATATATATATATATATATATATATGTCACCCATTATGAAATGGACAAAGTCCGAAAATTATTTTAAGACATTTTTATGTTTAACATTCTTTTTATAGATACAAATATTTCAGTAAATGCTCTGTTTATAATAAACAGTATTAAATAACATTCAGGCCGGTAAATGTTATTTAATACTGTTTATTATAAACAGAGCATTTACTTAAATACTTGTATCTATAAAAAGAATGTTAAACATAAAAATGTCTTTTAATATATATATGTGTAATATATAATAAATATATATAATTTAATATATATTATTGTGTTTGTTATTATTATTAAAGAAAACCTAAAAACGTTGGTTTCACCAACGAACAACTTGCCATAAAGCCTAAATACCGCTAATCAAACGAAAATCTTGAACAAGGACAACAATACGAAAAAGAAAAAGACATGAAGGCAAACATCTACCTACTTTGTAAAGTAAAATACACAATGTCTAGATGAACTCGGCAGAGCAAAAAACGCTTGACAATGTTAATTCCGATGAAAAGATGGCCCTAGTCATAACCCGAGTTTCCTTCTTACCCAATCTTCAGAAGACTTGTCAAGCCATCCGATGATCGCATTAGCATGAAACTCGCGTTACGACTAGGGCCATATATATATATATTATATATATATATATATATATATATATATATATATATATATATGTATTCAAATATGTTTGGTTAAATAATTTAGACATATCATGTCGATTAGTTTTCGCTGTGATTCTTTCCAGTTCGCGGATTAATTTTTTGGTAGATTTAGAAAATTGAGTAAGAAAAATACCATAATTTTCTTTCGAATAGTTTTTATTTTCCCATGTACTTTCTATCTCATCTGAGACGGTCTTCAGGGGTTAAGTTGTCTGTGTGTATGTAGATGTGTTTCTTGCCGACAAGGTTTTTACAATAGATTCGTATGAATAGAATATTTATTCATTAAAAGAATTCAGTTTGTAGATCCGTTTTCCTTGACGTATTTTTGGAAAGAGAAAAATGAGTTACTGTTAATAATATTTTTTCAAAAAATGTATTACTGGTATTTTTAATATAAAAACCTATTTTTACACTTTCATTGTGTTTTGACCACAGTTTGGAGGTTAAGTATTTGCCCATAGCTGGGACCCTAACAGGTGTTACCACCTCGGGTCAAGAAAGACCTAGGAACAACAACAATTAAGAGGTTTTCATGCCACTCAAAATCCAAGGTCTTGCTACCGGATGTAGTTTATCGTCATACCAAGGACCAGTGGTATGTTGTGTGCAGTTCTCAAACAAAAGAATCTGAGGTAGCCTAATTACCGCCTTTTAAGTTTTAAAGATTTCCTTGAAATATTCGTGGACAAGTAAAT